GATGTGAAATGTGAAAAACAAAGATTTTAAAACGTGTTCTTGTGTTAAATATTCTGAAACGTCTGCAGAGATCAGCTCTGACATATTTTAATTCAAAGACGTCTCCGTCCGATTCTGAACGCACCGGCTGAGCGGCTGTTTGTCCGTGGGGACTACAGCTCCCAGAATCCCTCTGGGGCGGCAGTGTGAGTTTTACCTTTGAGCGGCTGTGTTGGCGTCCACCACGCCGGCCGAGTGCATCCAGGAGCGAACAGCCAGCGGCTCCTCCTTCATGGGGGAGGCTTTGAGTTTCTAAAAATTGCAGGATCTACTCGCAGTCGAAATCTTGGACTTCTTCAATGTCCCAGCACAGGATACACCCTTACCTATCTAAAAGATCCATCTCCAACAATTGGACAGGCTAAAATTGACATACGCCCACTTCAACAGGACCTACCCGTTGATTCAGTATGGAAATTTACACTGTCACCATTTGATACATAGTTCAAATAAATTGCACTGTGGAGTTTTAATCAATACTTAACAGATTTGTTGTTCTTAGGAAAGCTCGGGACATGCCTCTGGTCCAGAAGGAGGTTCCCTTCTCTGAAATGAAACTGCACCGAGCTAACTGGGATGGCTATGCACTTGTTAAAGATATATAAGAATTACATATTCATTTTTCAATAAGAAATGTCTTTTTAGTTTTTGTGCACACAGATGAGAGGAAATGACTATAACATTTTCTGAACTTCAAGGACCCCCATGCAGGAAACACATAGAGAAGGAGAGGGAGACCGTGGTGAGGAGAATGATAGAGAGCCACCCACTGACAGGGACAGCGTTCCAGTGAGGCCTGAAACATCTGTAGAGAGTGAAGTAGAACCAGTAGTGATTGAAAGTGAGAAGATTGATCTTAAAGAACTTGACAATGCTTTGTGTCATCACAGTAGGAATGCTATAATATTGTGCATGATTAGAACTCAGTCAATAGAAGAATAACACCTTTTAACCATAATAAATAACGACTAGAAGACATGCCATTATCACTGCTGTTTTATAGAACCTTAGAAACACTTCCTCATACAGTTCACAGACTCCACATCTAAGTGAAGCTTGGTTGACTTCAAACAGCAAATAAGCATCATTCTGATGAAAGTCAAGTAGAAATGGACTTTCCTAGTATCTATTAAAAGGCTGTTGGATTCTGTCACATTTTTCAGGTGTTCCTCCTTTTCTGTTGATTGGGAGTTTATCTGCATTTAACATGCAAAGTAGTTACATTTATTTTTCTTCTTGTCTAGACTGGAAGATTATTAAAGAACCAACTCTGGCTGCCCAAGTTTTCAAAGATAATCTACTAAGTGAACATGCAACCGGGAAGCCTCTTAAACTGAAAATGGATGTAAGGGAGTGTGAGGAGGACAGGGAACGGGCACTTCTCTCATTCTATAAACAGCAACAGGAATGGGCATGTCCACTTCATTGTACCCTTGATGGTTAGTAGAATAGAGTTCATAATATAAATATATCCTGTTACATTAATATCAATTCTATGTCTTATATGGAATGGTATTAGTGGTTTACTGGTCCCATCAGGTCATTTGGCTGATATTAATCATTATATGATAATCTGCATTGGCTGTTCATGCTGTCTGCATAACAGTTCATGTGTTTGTCCTTCCTTCCTAAAACTTGTCAAGCACCTATAGCCTTGTTACAGCTTGTTTCTAGTGTGTTATTAACAGTATACAGTATTCTTTAAAAAAAAAGTTTTATAGGTGATGCTGCTGTTGGACAGGGAGTGATGCGGTACTTTCTGACAACAATAATATCCAAACTCCAGTTTGGATTCAGAATGAATCTTGGTAAATGTGCTACTATTCAGGTTAATGTCATGCATTTTAAAAGTTAATTGTTTGATTTGAAGCCCTGCTCTGTTGGTACTTACAGGAGGAGTGGGCCAAACTCTGCTATTTGAAGGTGAGCCTGACCATCTCGTTCCAGCTGCATCAGAGGTGCTTATTGAGAGCAACCTCTTCCGGGTTGCAGGAAGGATGATAGCCCACTCCTTTTTGCATGATGGCCCCCATGTCACCGGATTAAGTCCTGCTGTTATTCATGTACTGTTCAATGGGGACCCTGAAATGGCAACAATTGTTGTCGAGGACTGTCCTGATCTGCACATCAGGAGTATTATAACAATGGTATGTAACACACAAACAAAAAAACCTTTGCCTTGCAAAATTCCTGGACAGGTGTAATACCTTTTATGATCCAAACTGTAGCTTGAACTTGAAGAACTTACTCAGAAACAGAAGGACACAGTGTCAGATCTTTCCCTGTCTTGGGATCTCCCAGCAGTCACTAAAACGAATCAGAGGTGGCTACATAACAAACTTCTAGTACACGCGGTGAGTTTCTCCTGCTGATTTGGTGAATTCTCCTTCTGAAATTGAACTCATCCCCCATTTATCCATCAATTATGTTTCAAGCTAAGCAATTCTATCACGTCTGCATTTCTTTTGCACATCTGTATTTCAATCACAAACTAATTGGAACTGCAGGCAGGATTATTACAGAACCTAAACACTCTTTAACTTGTAATCTGGGCAGGGAGTGGTTTGGTGTTGCAATATGAAAGGATATAATTGGGGAAAAATACATCTTAAGCACTGCATTAGAGTTTTATAAACACTTTCTACTGTGCTGACTTTTGTAGAATTTTAATATTTGGTCAGTAATATGGGTTTGGCCTTTCTTGTAGGTCATCGGAGGACCATGCGCCAAATTAAACAGTTGAGAAAGGGATTGAAAGATGTGATGCTATGGCCCCTGCTGACATCAAGGCCAGATGTTGTCCCACTTCTTTTTCTGAAAATGGCAGGAATGCAGTTTGTACCCCAGGTGATTTAGTACATCCAACTTATTAACAATACTTAAAATATTAATAAATGTGTGTGCAAATCTTATTGTCTAATTTACTGAGCTGGATATTTTCTCAATTACCAAGACTGTAATCTATATTCCTTTTCATCAGTGCTGAATTATAAATTATCCTAGACACCAAAATACTTTTCAAACTTTTTTTTTCCAGATGTTCCTAGACAAAATCACATGGCCTGTGGAGGACAGTGATGATGAAGAACTTGACATTGAGTGCAAGTGCCGCATCACTGGTTTTCTACGGATGTTCATTGAAACAGGTATAGCTATCTTATTTTGCAATTTATTTTCATGTTTACCAATGTCTCTATGTCCCATAAACATCTCACTTAACACTGTAGAATATATGAAATGCATAGGGATTTGAACAGTTCCAGTGCACTGTGTTCTTAATCCACTTTATGACCTTTTAGCTTCATCAGATACTCTGGCTCAGTTGCTGAAGTTCTGGGTCGGCTGGGAAATGCTCCCTCCAGAACTCAAAGTGGAGTTTTCCGGGGAACCTTCCCATCATCCTCCACATGCTTTGAAACACTGAAGCTGCCAGCTCATTACAACACCTACAAAGACTTTGAGGAAGCACTTGTTGCTGCCATAGACAGTGCACACACTGAACTCACTTCACTCAAATTGACCTTTTTCTAGAATAAAAGCACAGCAACATCATTGCCTGAAAATACTTAAAGAGCAAATCCAGTGTGTGCACTGTCTATGGCAGCAACAAGTGCTTCCTCAAAGTCTTTGTAGGTGTTGTAATGAGCTGGCAGCTTCAGTGTTTCAAAGCATGTGGAGGATGATGGGAAGGTTCCCCCGGAAAACTCCACTTTGAGTTCTGGAGGGAGCATTTCCCAGCCGACCCAGAACTTCAGCAACTGAGCCAGAGTATCTGATGAAGCTAAAAGGTCATAAAGTGGATTAAGAACACAGTGCACTGGAACTGTTCAAATCCCTATGCATTTCATATATTCTACAGTGTTAAGTGAGATGTTTATGGGACATAGAGACATTGGTAAACATGAAAATAAATTGCAAAATAAGATAGCTATACCTGTTTCAATGAACATCCGTAGAAAACCAGTGATGCGGCACTTGCACTCAATGTCAAGTTCTTCATCATCACTGTCCTCCACAGGCCATGTGATTTTGTCTAGGAACATCTGGAAAAAAAAAGTTTGAAAAGTATTTTGGTGTCTAGGATAATTTATAATTCAGCACTGATGAAAAGGAATATAGATTACAGTCTTGGTAATTGAGAAAATATCCAGCTCAGTAAATTAGACAATAAGATTTGCACACACATTTATTAATATTTTAAGTATTGTTAATAAGTTGGATGTACTAAATCACCTGGGGTACAAACTGCATTCCTGCCATTTTCAGAAAAAGAAGTGGGACAACATCTGGCCTTGATGTCAGCAGGGGCCATAGCATCACATCTTTCAATCCCTTTCTCAACTGTTTAATTTGGCGCATGGTCCTCCGATGACCTACAAGAAAGGCCAAACCCATATTACTGACCAAATATTAAAATTCTACAAAAGTCAGCACAGTAGAAAGTGTTTATAAAACTCTAATGCAGTGCTTAAGATGTATTTTTCCCCAATTATATCCTTTCATATTGCAACACCAAACCACTCCCTGCCCAGATTACAAGTTAAAGAGTGTTTAGGTTCTGTAATAATCCTGCCTGCAGTTCCAATTAGTTTGTGATTGAAATACAGATGTGCAAAAGAAATGCAGACGTGATAGAATTGCTTAGCTTGAAACATAATTGATGGATAAATGGGGGATGAGTTCAATTTCAGAAGGAGAATTCACCAAATCAGCAGGAGAAACTCACCGCGTGTACTAGAAGTTTGTTATGTAGCCACCTCTGATTCGTTTTAGTGACTGCTGGGAGATCCCAAGACAGGGAAAGATCTGACACTGTGTCCTTCTGTTTCTGAGTAAGTTCTTCAAGTTCAAGCTACAGTTTGGATCATAAAAGGTATTACACCTGTCCAGGAATTTTGCAAGGCAAAGGTTTTTTTGTTTGTGTGTTACATACCATTGTTATAATACTCCTGATGTGCAGATCAGGACAGTCCTCGACAACAATTGTTGCCATTTCAGGGTCCCCATTGAACAGTACATGAATAACAGCAGGACTTAATCCGGTGACATGGGGGCCATCATGCAAAAAGGAGTGGGCTATCATCCTTCCTGCAACCCGGAAGAGGTTGCTCTCAATAAGCACCTCTGATGCAGCTGGAACGAGATGGTCAGGCTCACCTTCAAATAGCAGAGTTTGGCCCACTCCTCCTGTAAGTACCAACAGAGCAGGGCTTCAAATCAAACAATTAACTTTTAAAATGCATGACATTAACCTGAATAGTAGCACATTTACCAAGATTCATTCTGAATCCAAACTGGAGTTTGGATATTATTGTTGTCAGAAAGTACCGCATCACTCCCTGTCCAACAGCAGCATCACCTATAAAACTTTTTTTTAAAGAATACTGTATACTGTTAATAAACACACTAGAAACAAGCTGTAACAAGGCTATAGGTGCTTGACAAGTTTTAGGAAGGAAGGACAAACACATGAACTGTTATGCAGACAGCATGAACAGCCAATGCAGATTATCATATAATGATTAATATCAGCCAAATGACCTGATGGGACCAGTAAACCACTAATACCATTCCATATAAGACATAGAATTGATATTAATGTAACAGGATATATTTATATTATGAACTCTATTCTACTAACCATCAAGGGTACAATGAAGTGGACATGCCCATTCCTGTTGCTGTTTATAGAATGAGAGAAGTGCCCGTTCCCTGTCCTCCTCACTCCCTTACATCCATTTTCAGTTTAAGAGGCTTCCCGGTTGCATGTTCACTTAGTAGATTATCTTTGAAAACTTGGGCAGCCAGAGTTGGTTCTTTAATAATCTTCCAGTCTAGACAAGAAGAAAAATAAATGTAACTACTTTGCATGTTAAATGCAGATAAACTCCCAATCAACAGAAAAGGAGGAACACCTGAAAAATGTGACAGAATCCAACAGCCTTTTAATAGATACTAGGAAAGTCCATTTCTACTTGACTTTCATCAGAATGATGCTTATTTGCTGTTTGAAGTCAACCAAGCTTCACTTAGATGTGGAGTCTGTGAACTGTATGAGGAAGTGTTTCTAAGGTTCTATAAAACAGCAGTGATAATGGCATGTCTTCTAGTCGTTATTTATTATGGTTAAAAGGTGTTATTCTTCTATTGACTGAGTTCTAATCATGCACAATATTATAGCATTCCTACTGTGATGACACAAAGCATTGTCAAGTTCTTTAAGATCAATCTTCTCACTTTCAATCACTACTGGTTCTACTTCACTCTCTACAGATGTTTCAGGCCTCACTGGAACGCTGTCCCTGTCAGTGGGTGGCTCTCTATCATTCTCCTCACCACGGTCTCCCTCTCCTTCTCTATGTGTTTCCTGCATGGGGTCCTTGAAGTTCAGAAAATGTTATAGTCATTTCCTCTCATCTGTGTGCACAAAAACTAAAAAGACATTTCTTATTGAAAAATGAATATGTAATTCTTATATATCTTTAACAAGTGCATAGCCATCCCAGTTAGCTCGGTGCAGTTTCATTTCAGAGAAGGGAACCTCCTTCTGGACCAGAGGCATGTCCCGAGCTTTCCTAAGAACAACAAATCTGTTAAGTATTGATTAAAACTCCACAGTGCAATTTATTTGAACTATGTATCAAATGGTGACAGTGTAAATTTCCATACTGAATCAACGGGTAGGTCCTGTTGAAGTGGGCGTATGTCAATTTAGCCTGTCCAATTGTTGGAGATGGATCTTTTAGATAGGTAAGGGTGTATCCTGTGCTGGGACATTGAAGAAGTCCAAGATTTCGACTGCGAGTAGATCCTGCAATTTTTAGAAACTCAAAGCCTCCCCCATGAAGGAGGAGCCGCTGGCTGTTCGCTCCTGGATGCACTCGGCCGGCGTGGTGGACGCCAACACAGCCGCTCAAAGGTAAAACTCACACTGCCGCCCCAGAGGGATTCTGGGAGCTGTAGTCCCCACGGACAAACAGCCGCTCAGCCGGTGCGTTCAGAATCGGACGGAGACGTCTTTGAATTAAAATATGTCAGAGCTGATCTCTGCAGACGTTTCAGAATATTTAACACAAGAACACGTTTTAAAATCTTTGT